TGTTTCATCAGGCCATGGCTCCTCTATGGTGAAGTCACTTATCCCTCAGTAGCTTTTTTCTTGAATAGGGGAATTGTTCCTTTGATTATGATAAAATTCGATTTTCATTGAAACTTTTGCTTCAAAACTCCAAATCTTCTTTCGAAGATGCCCTAGAACTTCAATGTTGAAGATAGAGTTCTCTTTTTCAATGAAATCTATTACTTAGAATTATTTTTCTTTGTCCAGCATTTTCAAAATATTAATTATTTTCTCGTAGTTTTGAATTAAATAAAAGCAGTAAACCAGATTTTCTCAAAAATGCTCTAAATTTATTGTTTTTTAAAGAAATGTATAAGGTTGAATGGTCTAGTCTTTACTTGTTAAAGTACCACTTTCATTAAATCTTTTGAATTTTCAAAAAAATAAAGCATTTGTAATTATACATTTTCCCCAAATTTGTTTATAGCGTTTTAAATAACGAACATTTTTTAAAAAGGGGGAAATTATTCATTTTTAAATGTTTCTTATGAAACCAGTGGGAAACGTGTCGCATTTAAATCTACACCTTTTTATGCTTTTAATGTTAGATGGTATGATCTATACCATCTAATCCAGCAGAGAAATATTAATAGACACCACTGTTATTTAAATTTGTGACATCAGGTATTACGTACGCGTATTGTTTGAATTCGATTAAATTTAATTTATAATGTAATGTGAACGTACATTAATTTAAAACTACTGATTTGGATCAGTTTGGATTTCTTTTGCATCCTTGGAGAACATAGATACACTACTGGTCTTGGAAGATGATAAAAACGTATTATACTGTGCTGTGATAAAATCCATTAGACGAAGAGAGTTTTGCAAGAGATGGCTCAAATATTTACAGTTCATAAATGTCAACGTAATTGTTACAATAGTATGCAACTCTCATAAATGGTTCGAGAAACTCTGTGGCATGTTGTAGCAGTAGTTTTTTGTTATGTAATTCCTTCGATCTTCCTTCGTTTTTAATCTCTTCATTCTTCCTTCTTTCAATACTTTCTCAGTCCTTTCTCACCTTTCTCTCTTTTATTTTTATTTTCTTTCAGTTATACTCTTAAGTTGTCTTTCTTTTCCATTAGTCCCTGGAATACGCGAATGTTCAAATGAGACAAGAATTTCAGGTACAAGAATAAATGACGAATCCTAAAGACATTAGCGTAACCCAAGACAAATGTATGTCTTTTTTGTGTTTAAAAGGGATGTTTTAAAGGGAAAAGCGCATTTATACTATTTCCCGTGCGATGCACCTAAGAAGTTGTCCCGAATTTCAGGGCGCTTGGTGTTCACAGGATGCTGCGGGCAACAGGGCGCTTAAAAGTCGTTTCTCACTGTAGATCTCTCGCTGTATTAGCGGTAGCGAATGAAGTAATGTTGTCTTTTCTAGGAGCTATTCGCTGACGTAAACGCTCGAGACGAAACGTTTAATGAACTCTGCTTGTAGATCCATATTGAAGAAGTGTTCCCCAGATAAAAAATTGCTGATGATTGAGCGGCGTCTCTGACCAGCGGTCCTAGGCTTCGAATCCTGACGGTGGCGGAGTTTTGACACTAGCATTGTGCAGCTACATCGAATTCAGCTGCAGCCTGGAGGAGAATTCTAGCCGCTTGCTGATCGATGGGTAGTTTTCCGTGGTGTCTCCGAGCAGTAACAGCTGAGTGCTGAGAGCCCTAATAAACAGACCACGGACCGCGCTATCTTTCCTTCCTGTGCCTTGACCTATCTTCACTCCTTACTCATACTCTTCCACTTATGTAGCACTACAAACACACACTTATACTTATTACCATATATGCCGCGAAGCCAGTCAGAAGCCAAGACCTGCTCCCAACTGTGACGGTGCCCCACTAGGGGCGATACCTGGAGGTGGAACTACCCTAAAGTCGACATGTAGGTCGGTAGTGGATCTCATCATCCAGTATGGAAAAAACACCATCATCCAAAATAAAACTTTCACTTCCTTTTTTAAATTATTTATTCTGAAACGATTGTAACCCTTACGAGTGAAAATTGATTCATGAAAGCTTCCAAAATTTAATGCTCTTCACTTTAACTTTGCAATATGTCCCTAATGAACTATCAACCATTGAAGTGGGCATGCCGGAAAATAATCAATCAATCAAAAGAAAAATAATAATTTCCATTCTGTGATTGAGCAAAAATGCGAATAAATTATACATTAATCACGAAGATTTATTTATGGACACAAAATGATACAATTTTCAAATATTATCATCGCATCGTCAACATGATCAATAACTATCCTAATTACAAATAAATGATTTTATATATGTTTAATCTTAAAATAGTTTATTAAGTACTATTCACGCAAGATTTCTGGATACACGAGCTCCCTAGTCCTCATCCAGCGCTGAATAGCTCGGCACGTTGAGATACTTAGGTTCGACTCGGAACGGCACGTACCAATTTACAATGCTACCAACAACCACCTCGTACTTTCAAATCAATCGTAGCATTTCTCGTGACACGTTTTGGAGAGTTAAGTTCATGTCTACAATTGGTACGCCCTTTTAAGCCGTGACGTAGCCAGAGCCCTCCTCTCCTCGCCCCCCCCCCCGCTGTGGAATATCAAGAAAACTTACGCGTATAATATCTTGTGCCGAAAGTTGAGTCTTTGGTGTACGAACGAACATGACGATCGACGGGACGCGACGTTTAGAGCAGACCCCACCGTTTTGAAATGGGTACGCCAAAACCACTTCTGTAGGAGTGGTGTACATTATTTTTTTCTGCGAATTGAGGGAAACTTACAACAATGTATTCTTTTGAGTGACGGACATGTTTCGCGCTATATGCTACTTGGTCAATAGTTGTACATAAAGAATTCCTCTTTGCCAACAATTGCCTCTGGATCCATCTCTGATTGAATACTCACAACCTCAATTCCTGATTAGGATGTACTGGCTAAAATAATCCTCAATTACGAAATGGTATCATAAGACATTTTTATACTACAAAAATATCTTACGTTTAATACACATTATAAAATTTTGAATGTAGTTTAATTTTTGTTTAAATTTGTCTATTCATTCTGCAGAAGGTGACAGACCGATAATGATAGCAGTAAAAATGTATTTTTACTTAATTTTTAAATTAGGTGGTTTAAGTTACAGCTTAAAATGTAGTGTTCACCGGGTATTATTTGAACACTAGTGTTATAATAACTTTGAAGTTAACGGGTACAACACGTTTCAATACATTTAATTCGCCGACAAAGTGAATATGGATTTTTAACTCTCTAGTTATCTGTTATAATTGTTATATTCTTTGTGGCTTCATCATTGAGCTTTATTTTACTTCACATATGCTGTCATTATTTCTAATGAAACCCAGCGCCTGGTAACTGCGGCCCAAACAACGGCCTGGATAACCTTCATTCAAGGGGACAACAAGAAACTAGATGCAAATATTCTTTTGAATAAATGAATGTGTTGAACTCCAATACAATTATACATTCACATACATTAACTCCCACTCGTGGACGTTTCCAACTTGCTCAATGCTCAATTTGAACTAAAATTTCTATTTAAGTTAACGTTAAAAACTCAAAAACTGGGTAAACTGATTATTTGATTTTATAGATAATTTGACGTTTTAAATATTGTTCATCAGTATTCATATCTTAGTGTCGAGTACTTAACTTTGCACCTTCTCGCTCTAATCGTGTATTATATAAATACATTTCTACATAAATCATGGTGCAAAAAACTTTCAATTTGATTTGGGCAATGTGAGTTATGTGGTAAATCCCACATAAATTACTGCGAACACGATGTCCGATTATAGATATTTGATTTTTCTTCATTCACCCACGTTGGTCTGCATAGTAAACGTGTATGGTATTTTTATTTCTTAAGTTTATTCTCATCATTTCAGTTCATTAGTTCATTCTATTTGTGTAACTCTACTTAGTAACAATATTGTATTGTAGTTACAGTTCAGGTTGCTAAGTAATCAATGTAATACCATGTTTAGAAATTTGGTAGAGTGTAGACCTTTTTCGTACGCAACTCGTCTAAATATACAAGAAGTAATAATTTTCTTTATTATTATATTATAATGTATTATTATTGTTATTGATAGTTCTTATAATTTCCAAGAGTGTAATAAAGTAAAATTAAAGCCAACAATATCTGTCAAATGTTTTCGATTTATGATGACAAAATGTAAATTTTAGAGCAACATCGACCATCGTAAATGAAGTAGAAGCCGTTTTGAGGCATAGTACTTATTACTAAAATTAAATTATCTTACGTTCGAAACACTCAGAATGTGCAGGCCATGGGTGATGTTTCGCAGACGTGTTACATCACCGTATCAGCCATGGGAAGTAGTCTATCACGTTAAGCGTACACGGGATGCCTTTTGGTCATATCCGTTGTTATTACATGTTGTTTCTGTATTTCTCACGTTTCTATTGTTTCCATTCATGAATCATCAAAAACATGATTGCAACATCTAATGAATATAGTTTTAAAAAAACATTGTTCACATTTACATGCAAAGATGAGAAATGGAGCTAGTAAAGAGGCAAACAGCATTAGTTATTTCTACACAATCATTTATACGCAGCTATTTAGAGTATCTAGTAGTCAATGTAGTACGATACTTCAACGATAATAGCATTGATGATCGTACGTCTTACCAGAGAAAAGGTTGTTACTCACCTTTCTCATAATGAGTAATGTCTTGTGACAGTTCTCAGTGTAAGAAAATCCTGACTATTTAGAAATTACAGAATTTGATACAGAGATTTCTGAGAAGTTCGGAATTGACGTATCTTTTAATATGTAATTTTAAACGGATCACTGTTAGGTAATTTAAACAATTAAGCTTAATTATACAGTTTACAATCACAAATATCAACATATATACAAACAATATTCTAGAATAATAATAAACGGATAATCTAGAAAAAAATGAGAGTTTATTGCGTTTTTGTTGTACCTACCTAAAGATACCCGTGTTGAAATATCAGAAGCGCTGTTCAAGGGTCGATGCGGCGATCATCACAACACGTAGGAAAATTCCACAGCCCCGCACATCCCACCGAGCGGTCCGTTTCCAAAACAAAGAGAGCATAGCCTTTAGACCCGAAAGACCAATCACACCTCGACGGACGAACTCGGGTCGAACGTTTTCCAGTCGCCGCAACACATGTCTACATCATTATCCGCAGCCCACAATCGGTCTGGTTCGAGAGCGGGTCAACACGTGACACACACGCGCACACATAAGCCACACACCCACACACGAGTACGCGGGCGGCCGGAGCGGCCTACGCTGGCCGACACTTGAGCGGTCACGGTGGAAGCGAGCGCTCGATCGGGCCACCACGTGCCGCCCTACGCACGCGACCGCGGGGCGCTTTCACTGTGGCACGCGCGTGCTGTACCGGAGCACGCACGCACGCGGTGGCGGTCACGGCGATCACGTCTGTAGTCAGGTCGGACTCGTCTCTAGTCACGTGACTGATTGTGAAGGTAGTCACGTCGCTGGTAGTCGGAAATCCAGTCGCCGATCGCGTCGCCGTTCGTGTCGCTGGTCACGTCGCCAGTCGTGCCGCTAGTCACGTTGCCACTCGCGTCGCTAGTAAGGTCACCGATCGCGTCGCTAATCACGTCGCCGACCACGACGGCAATCACCTCGCCGATCGCGTCGCTAGTCGCGTCAGGTCGTCGCGCACGGCGACGGCGGCGAAGGCAACGTCGTGAGCGGCAACTGCGCTCCTGCGTGCGGCCAGGACGCGCGGCCGCCGGCGACTGCGTGGGGTGCGTGCGAGCGCGGAGCGGCGCGGCGTGGCGCGGAGGAGCGGAGCGCCCGGTCGTGGCGCGGTGAGCTCTGCGACTGCGCCACTCCGCCGCCGCCGCCGCCGCCGCCAACGCCGATGCAGGCACCGCCCGTTCCGCACCGCGCAGGCCCCCGCGCCCCCGCCCCCGCCGCCGCACGGTGGAGCGAGCAGGCCATCTGGCCGGGCCAAAACGACAAAAAAAAAGTTTTTTAACGAAACGAAACATGACAGACAGCTTGTCGTTTGGGGAAGAGAAGGGTCAGGTGCAGAACGGGGGCGAGGAAACGAAGGGTCCTGGTGTTCGGGTTGACTGGCTTTGTCGTTTGAAACTTTTTGAATGAAACATTCGTGGGGCTGAAAGAACACCGTTGGTCTCATTATGCTTTACAGACGGGGACTAGATGCAGCAGTTGGATGAATACTAAGCACATGTGTAAGGGGTCCCGCTGGATAGAGACCGCCAAGAAATTGATACACGAAATGTTAGTTCATGCTCAATTTTAAATTTTTAATGTTCATTTTTATTTTGCAAATGTGATAATTAGAGAGCGGATTTTGATGACCTAAATCATTGTACAAAATCATCTCAAATTGCATTAAAAATGCCCTAAAAAGAAAGAAAAATGATATTAAAAAAATTGATCATAACCACTTCAGATGGACAACTCAATCTGTTAGGTATGTTACTGTCGTAATCCAGGTTTCTTCCTTTTGTTCAAGTGAACTCAGTCTGCAAACGTTTGGTTTGAAAGAAAATTTCTGCCTTTATTTTTCGCGAAATTGGCCGAACTGACAATGGCGCTTATAGGCGTCACAGGAACCTTAGATTACATAGTACTCACAACGGCTGACGTTGCAATATACGAAATTGAATTGGCTACTAAGGAATTCCGTGGTGAACATTTGTTGCACCTCGTAAATATTGTTTGAAGTAAGCACCTTTAAAATTAAATTATAATCGATGATATCAGCGAAAGATGCATTACAAATGTTGTTAAAAGGTAAAAAATGACCTATTAGTCGAAATCGGCGAAAAATTACGTATAAAAATGAGTCCTTTCGTTTTGTCATAACATAAAATGAATTTCTATATTAAAGACATTGTCCTGAAATGAAAAGGTAAAAAATGACATTTAATTAAAATGCCTAGTTATAATTTATTTGTATGTTTATTTGAATTCACCCGTTCAGTATCACGTCCTAATCCTCATTTAGCGTCTGAAAATATTCGAAGACGTATTAATTTTCAATGTGCATATAATTCAATGATAGAAGTACGTTTATAAATAATGTGTGTACTTTATTACATAAGAAGGTTTAACTATCTTAAATCATATTAGATTCGTGTTGAGATAGTAACTCTACTTGACTGACACAGGTCATCAGTAATTGTTTGTAAAATGCCAAGGGTCTCAGATCAGCCCAGATCTCTCCGTAGTACAGAACCAGTAAGCGTTGAACATCACGCCTCTTTGTCAGTTTTATTGGCACCCCAATATTCACTTTTAATTAGATGGAGCGATGTCTCTTCCATCCATTTTCGGCCGGCAAACATTTTCTGGTTGCTGCACGTAACTTCACATTGTACTGAGGTTTTCCCTAAACTATCACGGTTGCTATTGGTGTAGTCCCACGTTCATAATAAAACTGAGATAATAACTAAGTAATAGACTAATAATAACTGAAAATCTAAAATACCATTGTTTTGGTGGCTTTACAACTTTCGTAACAGTTGTTTTCAAGCCCAGTGTGTCAAAGTCTTTTCCAATTTTAAACACCACACTTTTCTATGATACTATCGTATTCCTACACAATGATTGCATGATACTATCGTATGTTGCAATCAGTGTGTAGGTTTTACTTCTTTCTCTATACTAACGAAAACCAGATCGTGTGGCATGGAGCAGTGTCCGGGTATTGGGAGAAGAGTTCTATTTCCTTTATGTTTGTGGTAGCCTCTGAAAAACGTAAACTGTGCTACATGATCAATTCAGAACAATGAGAATCATTCTTATTTACATATTCACACGTTGGAAGCTTGGGGAGAAATTTTACAGAGTATTTATTTTTGTTTTCATTTTCTTCTATCTTGAAGGATTTCTCATTTTTTACGATTTTTTCCCTCGAGCGAGTGCGTTACTGAATCAGAGACTTGCCCAATCTACTTTTCAAAATTTGTGGACGGCTGATGTCCTTTATCCAATGTTGTTACAAAAAGCATAATGATGAAACTCCGTTCTTACATAAATGAATAAAATTAAGTATGGAAATAAGAAACTGAAAACAATTTACGATTTGTCTCATCAAATAGGGCAACTTTAAATTATATTTCACAGATTTACTGATCATTGAAAACTCCTTTTTGCTCATGTATCCTGTCTATTAAGGTACAGCCAACAGTAGAATATGAAACTTATTATATAAAATATATGTAGTAAGTGTACAATAAAGTTTTAAAACTAGAGTGACAAATACCATTGATGAATGGACAAGAGCGCTTTTGAAAATAAGAACTACATAATTCATATTGAATTGGACTAGGTTCCTTTTGTTCCTTTACTAACGCCTGTTAGTACAGTCAGCCACAACGGTTTCTGTGTTGAGTGCAATGTGATTTTTGATTCTGTTTGAAATTTTTGAAAGGCATTAATGCGGATTTGGAAGCATTTTGTAACTGTATAAAACCAATGTCTTATTGGTTATAGATTGATTAATAAAATGCGGTGGTACCAATATCTCAATTTCTTAATACTTTTGGACAAGGGCCCTTTTAGAAATGGACCACTCAAATACTGCGTTAATATTACACTTGATATAACAAATTTTTAAATGTTTGGTTATTACATCCGAAATTATGATGAAGATATGTAATAGTCGTAGGGAGAATGTGTGAATGAGCTGAAGTTATGTAACTAATAAATGAGAGTGATAGAAAATGTCTGCGAACTGCATTGATTTCGTCCTCTCAAATTAGTAAACACCACCCACTTTCATTCCTTTTGCATAACAAAAGTTTTTGTTTGTTACCTGGTGCAAAAATCCCAATAAAGAATGATTTTCTCAAACCAACTATAAAAAAAAATAATGCCCAACATGGTATTTTCAGCACAAATCTGTTAACACTGTGCTTTTCGTAACTTTCATATTATAGTTTTAATGAGGAAATAATGTTTTATCAAAAACACCAATTTTACTTTCTCGCGTACGTACGTATAGTATGCGGAGTAAGCGCCGAGTTCGCAGTCGCGAGGTTCGGGTTTCATTCCCTGGCTGGACATCCTGACCGGGTTTATTCGTAGTTTTACTCGGTTATAAGGCGATGGTTAAAAATGCCACGATCACCTTCCACCAACCTACCTGTCATCTACCACCATCATCCTTGCCTTTTCAATCATCATCCTATCACTTCATTCGGTATTCCCTGCAAAAGTCGGATGGCCCATGCCCTTAATGGGATCTTAGTTGACTAATAATAATAATAATAATAATAATAATAATAATAATAATAATAATAATAATAATAATAATACATGTAGTATAAAGAAAGTTTCGGAATACTGCGGAAAAACGACTTCCGAGATTTCACCAGAAATACACATTTTGGGCTCCCTTGATATCGAAAAATTTGTTTTTTCTTCTTTCAAATCGCCCGTCTGTCTGCCCGCCTCTCTGTCGATCCGTCTGTCGGCTATGAACTCTAGCGCCAACACTGCGCCTAGAATTTTTTCCAAACTGAATTAACACCTGTCGATCTAGCCTCACCCAAAGCTCTGGAATTTTGAAAACATTCATTAATTTTGGGGGGTATTTTACATGAAGCTCCTGGGCATTTCAAAATGTTCTCGAAATTGGCTCCAATTTTGAAAATAAAATTCTTAAATGAATAGGGGGAAATACACTGACAAAGTTGACATAAGTCCGATTTTCACTTTAACTCTAAATTTTTAAAAATTGCAAAAGTCAGAATTTTTTACATAGGTGCACTCCATACTAAATAGGTGCTAGATGTACTGTATAAGATAAACTAAGCCCCATTTTCCTGTATTCTTTTGTTTTTTCAAAAAATTACAGAAATTTAATTTATTTGACTTGCCTCTCTCGTTAAAATTTACACTAGCGGCGATTTGTTCACATTTTTGGATTCATAATTCACATTCATAGTTCACAGAATTATGTATGTCGAATGATGTCAGAAAACGTTTCTCGAAAACATAAAAGTTTTCTGTGAAAATGATCTCGTGTTTCTGCATTTTGAGAAAAGCTCAAACGCCATTTCTCTAAACCGGTTCAACATTTGTTCCTTAAAATTTTTGTACGGATGGTGTTAAATACCCTTTAAAAGAACACTAAAGCCATTTCGCTGTATTATTTTGTTGTTTTTTTTTTTTTGCAATTTTTATTATTAAAACTAGGTAATACGGATGAAACACTTCACTTATGAATAACTTCAAAGCAGCAACATTAATTGACAGTTATACTTAGTGAGTCACTCCATGTTACACATAGATAAGCAACAACCAGTCATGCGATCCTCGTGCAAGAAATTATGATCTCGTGAGGTGAAAATTACTAGATGTACTGGGCTTTGGGTTTAATAAATGACACCTAAATAGATCTATCTAGGTGACGTTGGTTTAATTGCGTCTATCCAATACAATCGCAGAACTATAACACGAAAAAATAGGTTTTTGGAAATTTCTTAGAATTTCCTGTCCGGATTCGAAAATAAATTATCTTATAAATTCTCCCCCAGGAGACAGAGACGCGTCGAATGACATCTCATGTCTCGATTGGAGGACGGGAAGTGGACTAACCGTGAGTGGCGCACCGACGGCCACTCGCAGTT